AGCCCACTGACAGTAGCAACCTTAATGGTCCCCTTAGTTCAGGTCAGTGTTCAATGTACTTTTTCCTAGGTAAACATCTGGTTTTGCTAACATATTGCTTGAAAAAAAATCTCTGGATCCTTGAGGGCATATCAGAAGCTTACATTTGAGACTAGGTTGTACACCAAGGAGGCCTGCTTGACAAGACCCGGAGCTGTAAGATGCAGGACTCAGTAGGGAGGGGTCTGTCTCTAGCTGTGCTCCAGTTATGGTAGGGGGGATGGTCTGAGATTCATGGGGGAGGGGAAATAAAGCCTAGGAGATCATTCAGCATGTTTTTGAATTATCACGATGAAAGGCTTTGAAATCTGGGACATGGGACAGCCATGGAGAGAAATAGAAGCCCATAGAAGAAGCTATTCTATAGGCCAAATTGTCATGATTCACATGTTTCTTAGCAACTTTGGAGGGTCCTGGCTGCATATTCTAGCCTCCAAAATCTTTGTAGGATATTCTGTGATTTTGGACAAAACACTTGTATATTCTGAGCCTCAGTTTCCTTATTTGTAATACTTAGGATTTGGCCTATTTTCTAAGAAACCTAGACCTGAGACCTGGAGGAAACTTCAGAGACGACTTGGAGACCCAGGCCCCTTCCCTACCATCTTTATCACTCGGCAAATCACCAGATAGAATACCCCATGGATCCCCAGTCCACAGCTATCGTGGGGCTGTCTGCCAAGGACCAGAAACAAGTGGCAGGAAGGGAAGGACATTACTTGGGAGAATATGCATGTACACAGCTCTGAGGATTAAAGGCCCGTGTTCTTATCACTGCTGAACAGAGTATTATAAATCCAGTCTTAGAATACCAAATCCCCTTGCGGCTTGGCCGTTGTGAGGGAATATTAAAAAGGCCGGAGACAGAAATAATCAGTTTCCGAATGACACATTGTCAAATAAAGCATTCCCCACATTGTCCCTTTCTTTCCTTTCTCTGGCTCCTTCTCCCGTGCCTGGATATTTTAACATGAAAAATAGATGAAAATGAGGCCAGGCTGAATGGCATTCTAAGTTTGACTTTCCAGAAGGCCAACTTGGTGGGGTGGTTTCAGGGTGCTTTTATTTTTTCAACTCTCTATAATTTTTCCGTTTTTGATATTGTGTGTGTAAGCCAACCGGCTGCAGTTACTAGCATACAGGAAAAGACTGAACAGCAAAAAGGGGCCTTCCAAGCTTTGATCGGGAGCCCTGTGGATGCGGGGGTGAGAACTAGTTTGAAGACGTGTGTTTTGCCTCCCTCTAGCCAGTCTGGTCAAAATTTTAGGCTTCTGGTGGTTTATTTAGCACCTTTTGTGGAGCAAGCTCTGGTGAATGTCAGCTCAGGACCTGAAGTGGGAAATGGCCCACCAGATGCGAAGACCTCAGCGGAGCAGCCAGATCACTGATAACTCTGGGGGTCACCCTGACCTGAAGAGGCAAAGATGCTGCCTGAGGAATTGATTTCTATGCTTCGAAGGCTGGGGGCTGGTGGGGGGGGCAGATGAGAAGAGCAGGTCAGCTTCCCAGGGAGCCATAACTAATTGCCACACATTGGGTGGCTTGAGACTAAGGAAATGTATTCTCTCACATCTCAGGGGCCAGAAGTTCAAAACCAATATGTCAGCCAGAGTTGGCTCCTTCTGGTGGCTCTGAGGGGAAGCTTGCGATGATCCCTTGACTTACAGATGTATCCCCCCAGTTTCTGTCTCCATCATCACGCCACCAGTCATTGGATTTAGGGCCCAGCCTAGTCCTGTATGGCCTAATATAACTATATCTGCAAAGACCCTGTTTCCAAATAAGGTGACCTTCTGAGATTGCAGGAGGATGTGACCTTTGAGTGCCACCATTCAGCCCACTACAGGGAGTAAAGGAGAAAATTCCGGACTGAGAGAGCAAGCAGTAAGCAGAGACCATGGGGGATCCTACTTTGAGGAAAGCTCTTCCCTCGGTGTGTTAGTGTGTGACAGGGACAAGTGAGACTTATGGGGAGCTGAGGCATGAGGAAGAAGCAAGGATCCAGGTAGCGTGAGACCTCAGGTGCTGGGCCAGGGAGTCTGCTCATGGCTTGGAGGGCCCTGGGGAGGTAGGAAATAGGTTTAAGCCTGGGGATGGAGTAAAGATTTTAGTTTGGAATAAAGGCCTAGGGAAGCCGAGGGTGTGAGGCTGATATTTGTGGCACCAAACCCTTCATCCAGGGCTTCTCTTGCCTTTTCCAGTCCTTAGCATAGCTCCCCTCCTGGAGCCTTACGTTAAAGAGAGCACAAGGAGGTAACATATGGTAACTTGTCAAAGGGAAGAGCAACGGAGAGGCAGGGGCTCGCATGCCCCAGACTCGTGTTTCCCTGCTGCACCACTCTGCCCGTGACTTCTCCTGGCCTGGCCTTTGCCTGGGGAATCTGAGACTCACTGTCAGTAATTGAACAGGAGCAGGCTGATCTTGCCTAGGGAGATTGCAGAAGGAAGACCCCAGAAAAGATGGGGGCCACGCTTCCCCTCTTCTGTCTCTTCCCCAATCCCTGCCTAGTGAAATTCCCAGCTCCATAAGGAGAAGAGAAAATGAATCACACCCACACCTGTGCAGCTTACAGTCTCACAGAAACAAATTCTAACTAACAGATTGGCACTTTTGTTTTCAGGGATTTTGAGCTATTTCTTTGGCCTTATTTGTCTTGGGCATCCCTAGAGCGAGCACAGCCCAAATTGGATTTGGCATCAGGTTGTCCTTGAGGCCAGCAGATCCTCAGCTTGCCACCCCTGGAGCTTTGGCCTTCTCTTCACTTGCTTTCTGAAGACTCAAATCCTTTTCCCTATGTTCTTTCTTCCCTCCTGAGCACCCTTCTTTTCTGCAGCATCTTCTGCATCACAGAGGCCTGCGTTCACTCCTGCAGGATGCTCAAAGGCTGGGCACCCTGGCCTGCTGAGCCCTGATGGATTGCTCCTGCTTTTCCATTTACTTGCCCTGGCAAAGGAGGCTGGTGAAGTTGGAGTAGATAGATACAAGGGTCAGGACAACAGCCAGGGCCCATGCAGGTGGATCCTGAATGCAGTCTATTCTTGCTGTTGAGCCACCCATTTGCTTTCCTTGGGTGAAATGTCCCAATAGGACAGAGGCAGCCACATGGCTCTTTTGAGGTCCTCTGTTACGCACAGCACTCTTCAGTTTGTAAGGAATGCTTCAGCTGTTTTCAGATTTGTTCTGCACAGCAACCTTGTGGGGACAGTGATTGAAAATTTTCCTACATCTCGTGTTTACCCTGTGTTGGGCACTAATAAGTACCCCACAGCCGTTGGCTCACATCTCACCTCCCTCTCCAAGGAAGTTTTGGACTGCAATATTTTACATATATTTGATAAATTATACACACAGAGAGATACACATAGATATATACATATACTTGCCTTTGTTTAATTTGCATTATTGGCTTTTAATTTCGGACACTCAAACATCCCTTGGGATCTTGAAATAGTCAAAGGTCCAGTGCTGTCCACCTTACCTGACCGCCTTTTAGCTTATTACCCTCTCCCACTCCCCACCTTCAGTAGAGGTGCTGAATTCTAGCTTAGTAAACACTTGCAAAAAAAAGCACAATAGTTTCCCAGGATCTGGGTAATCAGAGGATGGCTGGACCATTTTAGTGAATAGGCTTCTTCTTGACCATAATGGGTATCAACCAACAGCAGTCGCCTCCTTACCTGCAAGATGATGAATTCAGGATGAACGTGTAACTTCTTTGTGACATACGGTATAAGTAGTTATCAGGAATTGTCTTTGTCTCCCATCGTGTTCAAGAGAACAAACTGATCACTCAGAGTCCTAAGTATAAAGGCTTCAGGTTAAAAAACCAAAATAAACACATCAAAATAAAGACTAGCTCTGCTTCTCACCCTCTGAATTTCAGAGCCTTGCCCACTCTTGCACATAAGTAGGTATCCCCTTCCTGAGTCTAGGGATCACTATAGCCAGGACTCAACAAAGTGGGCCCCGAGCTTCCCAACATGAAACACCACATAATGTGTAGAAACAAAAGGAAACCAAGGAGGACCAACCCATCCACAGATATGCTTCTGGTACAGAGGAGGTATGGGGTCAGGAGAAGGCAGACTTTCCACTTCAAGCACCTGGCAGGTGCCTGATACAGACCTGTCTTGGAAATATCCCTGCCCTGAAGGAACACGCAGACCAGGTTTCTGCATGAATCTTATGGATCATGAAAAATATGACTATGCATACATTAGCTTTTTTTTTCAAATTAATGTCTGATATGCAGACCCAAATATTTAAAGAGTTGCATATGTTAAAGATAAACTTCAGTTTGTTTACCTTAAGCTTCTGATTCCAGGAAGCCCACAAAGGTACACTTTAATCCATTCATCCATCTACTCATTCATTCAGCAAATACATATCGAGCACCTACTTTGTCCCAGGTCCCTTCTTGAGAATCAGACTCAAAGACCAGTATTTCTGAAGATGAAAAAAATATAGACTATGTAGAAATTATGCTTGACTGAATAACGCTCTCTTGTATTTGTAGCAGGATGTAGGAGTGGCTACTGTCTCTCGATCCCTCAGTGAACTCCTTGTAGAGATAAGAAAACAAGGCTGAGAGAGCATGAACAACTGTCCTGGGGTCACTTGGCTGTTGGGAGGCAGAGTCCAGGCTCACAGTCTTGATTTCCCAACATTCAGGAAGCTGGATTGCTCTGACATGGCCATTTTCCATCTCATTTCCTCCTCATGCCAACCTAGTGAAGCAAGAAGAGCAAGGACTTTTATTTATCCATTATACCTTGAAAAGCAAGGCTCCGAGGAGTCAAGCAATTTGCCCAAGGTCACAGTTTTGTGGTGAAAAGCCAGGTTTGGAGGCAATGTCTCTCTAGCTCTATGAACACAACGCAAGGATCTAGACCTAGGGTGAAGGATGGGAAAATCCCCAAAGAGCCATAATCCATCTGCTTGTTCTTCCTTCCTGCACCAGGGTGGCCTCATCGCACTGCTGCTGCTGCTGCTGGTGTTCACGGTGGCCCTGTACGCCCAGAGGCGCTGGCAGAAGCGCCGCCGCATCCCCCAGAAGAGCGCAAGCACAGAAGCCACTCATGAGATCCACTACATCCCGTCAGTGCTCCTGGGTCCCCAGGCCCGGGAGAGTTTCCGCTCCTCCCGGCTGCAGGCCCACAATTCTGTCATCGGAGTGCCCATCCGGGAGACCCCCATCCTGGATGACTATGACTATGAGGAGGAGGAGGACCCGCCCCGGCGGGCCAACCACGTCTCCCGGGAGGATGAGTTTGGCAGCCAGGTGACCCACACCTTGGACAGCTTGGGACGGCCAGGCGAAGAAAAGGTGGACTTTGAGAAGAAAGGTGAGTCCATTCTTCAGGGGACATTTTGGCGATTGGGAAGAGATTCAGGAGATGGGTTTTGGGGAGAGAGGTTGTGTCCTCTGGGAATAAATCATTTTGTATTTATGATCCACCTCTGTTAGATTATCATTTTGTCTTCTTTGGTCCATTCAATAATAAGGGAAAAAAGAATGTCATTTTTCCTGGAGTGGAAGTTTTGAGTGACATGACAGAGCATGCAGTCTAGTACTCCCCAGGGTTTCTAGATACCTCCCTTGACAGCCTTACTATTCAAGGAAGAGTTCATGCTGTTTCTGGACATCACTATGGGAAGGCAGTCTATGTCCTTGATCCTGCCTGACCATAAAGAAAGAGAATCTGATCTTCCTTCTCCAGGGAAGCTCTTGGAAACTGTGACAACAGAAAAGGCACCGTGTAACTTCTGTAAATCAATGTCAGTGAGCATCCCCAGCTTCTTCTTCTGTCTCATGTGAAATGCTTTGTGACATTTCCTCCTGGCCACCATCTTCTAAATGGAAAGCCTCGGTTTTCTGATCCAGGAGCCTAGGGCCTGAGCTGACATTTTTTCTTACCCAGGTGGGAACACTGGATGCTGAGCAAAAATCAGACTTAGATCTCCCTCTCGCCAGGTATCAGCTCCTGCTGATGCAGCCTGAGGTCACCTTTGTTTTGTGCATCTGTTTCTGGCTCCTGTTGGACCTTGTAAAGACTAACACTGCTCACTCTTTATTAAACATGTAGCAAAGACCCATTTCCTTTGTCCTGTTAAGGGACCGATGATCATTTGGGCACAAGCACAGGATGTGTTTTTATTTGTTTTTATAAGCATCTCTGGCTCCAACTTGTTTACAGGTGGAGCCGGAAGATTTTCTTTTAGAGAAATGCTACCAAAGCAAAGGTTGCCTTTTTTTTTTTTTATTCATCATCTTTATGAAGCTAGTGATGGTGATGAGTTAAAGGTTTGGCCTGGATACGCCACTGAAACACGGATCCCCTTCTCTTGTGAGCCTAGAAGCACCCTCTTTGCTTGGTCCCAGCCCTGGATCTCTGGACTCTGCATTCTTCTTTTTGCTCCTAGGGTTCTCTCTCGGGCTCATGTTTCCATGATACTGCATGTGCAAATAGGAACAGTGTCGGCCGCATAAAAAACAGAGAGATGTTTATGAAACCAGTAAATTCAGGTAGGATGTTGACTCTTGCAGTGGATGAGAGAATAGATTTTGGAGTCATATGGACCCTGGTTGAAATCTTGCCTCCTTTACTTACAATGTGATCTTGGGAGAATGGGAATTCGACCTCCTGAGCCCTACTTTCCTCACTGAATACCTAATGTAAATTACATACAAAATATATGAAAAATACCTAACCCAAATAGTAGTGCCAATCTCCCAAGAATGGTTTCTGTAGACCACAGGCCCTAAGTCTCAGTTGCACTTCTGAGATTCTGCTTAATCCAGTTACAACAATCCTGTCCAGTGTCTCTTCAAATTCCAGCTGCCATGGGAACCTTTACCTCCCTCTGCCAGATCTTATGCTTCTAGTGATGCTTCTGTCGGTGTTCTGCTTTTTTCTATTGACTTTGAACTTACCACACTATACAATAATAGCCAGTTTCTCTTTCTGCCTCCTAGACTACCTTTGGAGATCTTTCAGAGCAAATACAGGATCCTCAGTCTTTGTTTCAGCAATTTCCAGCACAGTGACTGACATTTAGTAGTAGACACTCTAAAAATAGCTGTTGATGGATGATTGAAAGAACTGATCAGTCAGTCAATCAAGAAAAACCCAAGCATCCGTCAGGGTCCAGAGTGCTCAGCCCCAGGTTTCAAGCAGTCTTTCTGTCCTGAGACTAGAGATGCTAGAAACTAAAGTGTCAGCAAAGGACATTAATAGCAATGACCAGAACTTGGAAGAAAGAAGAAGGGTTGAAGATGAAAACTCAGGAAGGATCACTGACCACCACCAAAGGAAGATACCAAGATGCATCTAGCACAGGCAAATTTTCATGCCTTCTTCTTTCCCATTCCCCCCCTCCCCACATACACACACACACACACACACACACACACACACACACACACTCCACCTTCAAATGGAGAAGAGCAAAACTCCGGAATGAGGAGGCAGATGGGGGAAGCAAGTCACTAATGGTTCTCTTGTTTGAGTGTCCTCCTTCCCCCTCCCTCCTTCCTCCTCCACTACCTGCCTTAGTTTCCCAAGTGAGGAGGAAAATGGTAGAGTCTGCACTCAAAAGGCAGAAAAGCCAAGGAGACAGAAGAGTACAGAGGTGGAGTTTCCCAGTCAACATTATAGCTCTGTGACCTTGGGCAGGTCACCCTCTTCTCTAATTAAAAAGTGTGATACTAATATTCTGCCTGGCACTGCAGTTAGGAAGCTTAAGTGAGAAAACACATGTCGAGTACGGAGTACACAGCTAAGGTTCCATATGCTGTGCTGTTCCTGTCATGCATACCATGAGTCTCCAAAGTGGTTACACTGTGCCACACACCAGAGCAGACCTGAGATAGAGATGAGGAAATAGAACCTCTGCCTGCAAGGAGCATTATGTGAACCCCTTCCTGGGAGATGCAATGTGGGGAGAAGGCCAGGAAATTGGAGCCAAAGCTTGAAGAGAGGCCACAGCTCTCTCCATGCCATTCAGTGAAGATGTGGCAGAGCTAACCCAGGAACCCAGACCCATGGGGCCACTCCCCAGACTTCTGGCCAGAAAGAATGTTTATTCTAGACAGGTGTCTATCATGCATAGCCAGAATGGGCTGTACAGCATCAGGGTGATGACCAGTTTCATTGGGGGTTGGTGCCTCCCAAGACCTGTATTGTTTTTTTTTTTTGTTTTTTTGGCGGGGGTGGGGGGTACCAGGGACTGAACCCAGAGGCATGTAACCATTGGGCCACATCCCCAGCCCTTTTTATCTTTTATTTCAAAAGCAGGCCTCTCTAAGTTGCTGAGGCTACCTTCAAACTTGTGATCCTCCTGCTTTAGTCTTCGGAGTCACTGGGATTACAGGCATGCACCACCATGTGTGGCCCAGACCTGTGCTTCTTAAATAGAATAAACTTTTCCATTTCAGCTTCCTGCAAGCTCTCTCTGTAACCTCAATGATGGGGGTTGTGACAAGGGCAGCACAGAGGACAGGATTGTGCTGGATCCCAGGAATGTGCAGACTAGCTCCTGGGAAGTGGGGAAGAGTCTCTCGGCCTCCTCTCCTTGATGGGATGCCCTGGAGTCTGCACACTTTCGTATCTGCTATCCCATGATGGCATAAGGATGGCTCTTCCTTTTGTGTTTCCTTTAAGGAGAACTCTTTTCGAACAATGACAAAGCCATACTCTCATTCTCTCTCAACACTAGTATTGAGAAAGTCCAAGCAGAAGTTATTGAAAGAGAATGAGGGGTGGGTGCAGGAGAATAGGCAGCCAGGGGGAGCGCAGGGAAGCAAATTCAGACTGGAATTCCACTCCTTGGTTCAAGGCTCTGTGACCTCGACCACCCTCTAAACCACTCTGTGTCTGTGCCTCTTCATCTCCCCTGTTTTCATCTCACCCAAACAGTCCTTTCCACAGTCCTTTGAGTGGGCTCCATTAAGAGCAGCCAAGGAGGAACCTGGAAGTGCAGGACACAGGCTTTTTGACTTCAGATAGGAAACCGGTCGCCCTGTCGGGGGTGGCTGCTAGTGGCTCTCCCACAACATGGGATATGACAGTGACCGCTCAGATCAGGTGTGTGCTCTGTCTCCTCAGGTGGCCCCCAGGAGGGAATCTTGAGGCTCTCTCCTTTATGGGGTGGCCTGGGCATAGCCACAAGAGCTGCAAAGTGTGAGCAGATTCTGGGCCGCCATATAAAATAAATACCAAAATACACTTAAATAGGAGCAATGGGGACTATTGTTCTATCCCACAGCAGGATGACTGTAGTTCACCAGAATTTATTATACGTTTTATAAAGAACAAGAAGAACTCAAAGATTCCCAACTGCGCTAGTCAGCTTTTCATCACTGGGACCAAAATACCTGACAAGAACAGCTTAGTGGGGGAAAGGTTTATTTTGGCTCCCTGTTTCAGAGGTTCAGTCCCTGGTCAGCTGACTCCACAGAAGAACATCATGGCTGCAGAATGTGGTGGAAGAAAGCTGCTCAGCTCATGGTGAGGAAGGGGAGAGGAAGCAGAGAGGAAGGGGCTGGAGGAAGATAAGCCTTCCAGGGCACACCCCAAGTGACCTGCCTCTATCACCCAGGTCCCTCTTCCCAGTAGTTCATTCAGCCATCAATGTATCAATCCACTGATTAATATATCAATCCAATGATTAATCCACTGATTAGGTCAGAGGTCACATGATCTAATCATTATCTAAGAGACCCACCTCTGCACCTTGCTGCACAGGTACCATGCTTCCAACACACAAATGTGGAGGACATTTGGATCCAAACCATAGCACCAGCATAAAGAAATACATATGTAAGAAGACAGAAATGTAAATTGCCATGATTTATCATTATACATTGTATATGTATATATGTCTATATGACACCTGTATCAAACCAACACACTGTAACCCATAAATATGTATAATTAAAAAAAATGATCTGAAATTGTTTTAGTCAGCTTTGTCGCTGCTGTGACTAAAAGACCCAATCAGAACAACTATATAGGAGGAAAGTTTTATTGAGAGGCTCTTGGTTTCAGAGGTCTCCTTCCATAGATAGCAGCTTTGTTCCACGGGGCTCCAGGTGAGGCAGGAACAACATGGCAGAAGAGTATGGCAGAAGGAAGCAGCTCACATGGTGATCAGCAAGCAGAGAAAGAGAGAATCCACTCTCCAGATACAAAACATATACACCACAGTCACGCCCCCAATGAACCACTTCCTTCCCCAATGAACCACCTGACCTATTTCCAGTTACCACTCAGTTATTCCCATCAGGGGTTAACTCACTGATTAGGTTAAGGCTATAAGCCAATATTTTCTCCTCCAAACCATCTAGCATTGTCTCACACGTGAGCTTTTGGGGGATACCACATCTAAACCATAATATGATTGAAAAAAAAAATGATCCCACAGCTTTGAAAATGTATCACCAAGGGTCAACCTCACTGCACATTTCATACTTAGAATTTGCTTGGAGATTCAAGCTGCTTCATCCTACTTGAGTTCTATCAACCTGCTTTTCAGCTCAGACTTGCAGATAATAGAGGATAAACAGTGGAGACTGGAGGGAGAAAGTTTCATTACAAAGTGACAACTGCCTAGAGTTCCAGGGCCGGAGGGTATTGTGCTGAGCAAGGCTGGTGTTCAACTGATACACACCATCATGGCCGCATCTTTTGTTAAATATGGAAATTCACTCTGATGCCAGTGGGGAAGTAGTTCAGTGCCCTGAGCCCTCCTGTTCCCTCCTGCTGTCTGCACAGCAGACAGAGCCTCCCCAAGGCTCTCCTGAGCTTCCCGCTACCTGGCCTCTGGGTGGCTTTAAGATGCTACTCAGCACCATGGCTGGCATCTTTTCTGGCTGGTTAGAGCCTGCAACTTGGAAGTTCTCAGGAGTTTTGAATGTCACCTGAGCAAGTTGCTGAGAACTTACCTGTGTAAATGCATGAGTGCTCAGCACTATGTCTGACACATCACAGAAGCTCAGTGCATGCTAATTCCAATTCTCTTTATCCCTCCTTAAATTTATGTTTCCCTTCCCTTAGTAGTATGCATGGATGCATGAGGAAATTAAAAGAACAAATTTGTCATTTTACCGAGGAATGGGATAAAAAATGGATGAATGGATGTTGGGTTTTTATAATTATGTTTTATTATTAGGAAAGAAATGCATGCTATTTATAATGGGAGGCAGAAAGAATAGGAAGGAAAAAGGAGGGAAAGAAACAGAAATTTAAAAAAAAAACAAGTCTGAGTTATACAAAGGAACAACTAAAAGTTCTACCTGTGTTTCTCTGACTCATTCCATGCTAGGACTCAAAGGCTGACCCTTGCTAAGTTTGAATTACATTCTTCCAGCATGTATGTATATTACACACATATATGGTATACATGTGTTTGCCTTGAGGTATATCCTAATGAGGTCATCTCACCCACATATATCTGCACCTCTCTGATATTTTACTAAACAATGTTTGAACAGTACATTTCCTAATCAACCATGCGTACCTACCTTACTTCCTTGGTGGCTGTGCAGGATCCCGTAATGTGAACCACCCAGCATACCAAAGCTGACTTTACAATCCCTAGTTGTTGACCATTATCTTAATTTTCTGCACCTAAAACAAGTTCAGGGCATCTTTGCACATAGAGCTAGCTAGGTCGCTAGCTAGATACATTGTTGCTGTGTGAGAATATTTCTGTAGGATAGATATGTTTCTGAAAGCACAATCAAGGCTCAAAGGGGGACACCCAGGTGTGATGTTGGTGAGTATTACCATGTTTACTCATTTTTAAAATATATTCCTACACACTCAAAGGAATCTATACATTCCTCCCCCACACAGAGGCACCTCAGTAGCCCATACCCCATCACGTCCACTACACATACAGTATTGTGGACCCTTCTGGTCTTATTCATATAGTTGCTATTAATTCATTTGTGCAGTTTTCTCTTTTTAAAAAGATATTAATTTAGAATAACATTGGTTCAAATTCCTTTTGTCTGTCAAAAATCAGCCTTCTTGGCTACTGTGAATAATGATTGTTTTGGTGAAGTGATGCAGAAGGAAGATTTCTCTCTACTTTCTTAACTCCATTCAGGACCAAGGATGGAGGAAGGAAAGAGAAATAGCATCCAATGTCATCAGTGGCCCACAGGGATGGAAGGGAAGGTGCCACAGTCTTTCTGACATAGGAGCAGCAGGTTGAACCTTATCTGGGCTCAGGATCACAGTCCAGGATGGCTCAGGATAAAGGGGATACTTGCTGAGTGGGTGGGGAAGGGGGGCACTCACTGAATGAGTAAGGGCCCTGCTGCTGTCCTGTGCATTCTCTCATTAAGCCATTTTAATTAACCCTGAGCAGAAGATGGATGGGGAGGTTGGCCTGGGAACTACCGCTGCTGCCACTGTCACTACCCTTCTAGAACTGCCCATGAAGTATTTCATGGACACTTCACAGTAAACCTATGAGAGATGTACTAATATGGTTCCCACTCTTCAGAGGAGGAAGCAGAAACAGAGAGGGTGTTGGTACCGTGCCCAAGTCACAGGACTGGAGGTGGCTGAACAGGTTGAGGCAGGAGAGCTGTTACTGTGAGGGGCAGAGCCCCGTGGGAACGCGCTGTTCCACATTGAGGACTGCGACTCTTAGGAAGGCACGGAGCTCTTAAAATTCCAGGGATAGTTAAAGCCCGGTGCCCCTGGGCTTGCTTCACCCAAGATCCTGGCAATAAAAAATACAGGTAATTACCATCCGTTCTCTGTAGGACTAAGCTGCTACACAGGAATTCCGAGTTTCTCAGTTGAGTGGTGCTCAAGAGTGCAGGGAACTCGTGTTGGGTGTCAGTAGATCCCAAGGATGTGAGAAACCAAGAAGCTGTTTTTAACTCACTTTCTGACACTTCTGTGACTGTCAGGTAAATGTCACCTTTGTATAGTGCTTTCTGAGTTTTCAGAACTCTTTCTTAGCCCCTCCTTTAAGGCCTTACCTTGGTGTTCCTGCTTCTTCACACAGAGGCTCTCAACCCCCACTCCCCTTTCCTCATCAAGCCACAGCAGTCTTGATGGTGTCCCCACTAACATGTCACCTCACCCTCACATTACTAATGGGTGTTGCTCTTCCTCGCCTCCTCTCCTCATCCATCTCCACTCAGCAGCTGCTGTTACAATGGCTGTAGTCAAAACACTCCAAGCTGAAAGCAATCCCAGAGCTCTTCTTACTCTTGACTCTTATTTTCTACTCTCCAACCACAGCGGCCTCCTCTCAGTTCTTTGAATTTGCTAAGCTCCTTCCACCACAGGCCCTTTGCATATGCCCAAGTTAACTTTGCCTGGAGAAGTCCCTCTCTTTCCTTCTCCAATCTGTCATGGCATGGCTGACTCCCCATCATTCTGATCTCAGCCTGAATGTCACCTCCTCAGACAAAGCTCTTGTCTCTATGTGAATTCTTCTCTTTTGTCTACTGTCAACTATCTTATGTGTTTCTTTAGTTGTGCTTTTTATTGTTTGGACTTATTTATTAGATAATTTAATTTTATTACTAGGCTGAGATTTCCATGAGATCAACCAATGAGTCTTTATTCCATACATAATAGAGACACCTGATGGGCATTAATAAATATACATTGCATAGGAGAAATGGATAATGGATGAGCACATAGAGGGATGTTTTAGCATCATTCCATTGGCTAGTAACTTCTCTCTGAACTTCTTTTCTTTGTTTGCCCTGGATATATCTTGTTTAGTATTTTCAAATTAATAATTTGTAGAACCCTCCCATACATCTGATAAAGAAGAGGTACTCATCCAAAGTTAGAAATTATCTCAAAGTGTATAGCTATGAGTGATGGAGCCACAATTGGAACCTGGCTTTGTCTAGTATCCTGATCCAAGCATGGTCCGGAGATAACACAACATGCATCAATCCTGCCAATTGAGCAGGAAAGGTAGGACATGGGCATAGATGCCAGCCAGCTAGGTCTTTTAGAGCTGTTTGTCCAAAATGTTGAAAAACAGCAGCCACAAATAAGGAATGTTTCACACTGTATCCCCCCCGTGTGTGTGTGATATATGTATCTGTAGTGCCTCAACAGGAAGTTAAGCAAGAGTACGTTTCCTTATTGCATGTGGCATGCTCTGAAGTCTTCTATTATCTTTCTGTTGCATTTCGGAGGCTGGTGTGAACCACTGGATTGATTTCACAGTATGTGAGTGGAACATAACCCGAGTCTTAAATCTTCCCCTTCAGAAAGGTTAATAGAGTGCTAGGAGGCCCATGGTGGGGACAGATCCTGGCCACTGGCAGAGCTCCGTGCCTGGACATCTTAAGGAGAAGATAGGCCTCAGAGTAAAGGGCTGGTAGAAGAAGCTGGCTTGGTGACAGAGGCAGGCAGGGCCCTCGACAGGGCTTTGTGTCTCACCCTGCCATCCCCGTGGCCAGCCCATCAGTGACTTTTGCCCAACCCCAACTCCCTTGGTCCTGTCATCTCTGCATTTTATCTTGAAACTGCTCAATGTGCCCTCCTTTATCTTTTTATCTAAGGGACTCAATTCTTACCCCCCAAAATGTCCCTTGTCCTCTGATCCCCGCGTAGGCAGCACCACCATTCTGAAGACATACCCTCTTCCCAGCTGTCCTGCAGCCCTGGTGGAGGTTGTCAGAGAGCCTGGGACATCCTTCCCTAAAGGGCACACTGCCAGGGTCACCCTGGGGGCTACCGGAAGGATGAATGGGTGGAAGTGCCGGAACCAGAGCATCAAGCTGGTTCAGTGAGATGGTTCTGAAAGAGAATCTCCAGCATACAGAGAAGGGAAGATTGGAAATGACTCTCTCAACACCAGAGTGGCCTGGCATTCATACACTAAACTGCCACTCCGCTCTCCTCCTTCCAAGCACCTTCTGAGTTCTGCATTGCAGAACATCCCACAGGCTGGTGACTGTGCCCTCTGTCTCCCTCATCAGCCATCTCCGCAGTCAATGGCCATCCATCCATTGAGAGAGACAGGCTGGCATTTGCTCCCTGTGTCTTCTCCGTGGATACCCTTCTCTCTCACTGCTCACTCATCCATTCATAAGTCCATTCATTTACTTAACAATGTTTACAAGCACCTATTATGTGTTTAATGTAGATATGCAAAGCAAAATAATAACTGGTCTTCCCCTAGAGCTCACAGTGTAGAAGCACTCGAGGCTTTATTTTATATCTCTCTAAACATTTATAGAATGTCTTCTTCAATGCAAACTCTGTGTCAGTGAAGCCTTTGGGGAGACAAGGAACTTAGCTTATGTTTGGGGAAATTGAGTCACTCGCCTATGACCCACAGAGTTTGATGGGGAAGTTGTCCTTATGACCCCGATTAGAGGTTAGATTCACCTTTCTCTTTGTTTCCTACACTGATTTTATGCCTGAAGTATCCTTTCATTTGGCAAACAACTTGTTACATCTATCCTGCTCTCCCCATCCCGCTGGAATCTTAAAGATCTTAATCGCCTTCTCTTTAGAAATATGCAAACCAAACTTTGTAGCCATTTATCAAGGCTGGAGTAGCTGGATTGGAGATTAGACACAATTTAAGTAATCCCTTCTATTTCTCAGATTGTGAAATTGCAGTATAATCTGTTTCCATTCCATTTTCTTCTTAGGGTTTATTAGGGAAGAAAGGAGGTAAGATATGTATGTGCTTCAAAACAGAGTCCTTAGAAAGAACCAGCCTGGAGGGTTCTCAGATTTGAATTATCTTTTTTTCCTTTTTTCTTCCCCAACTGATGGGCAAAGCAAGTACTGCATGTAGCATGACACGATGTCCATTTTTGCTTCATTGAATCTCAGATGAACAAGGTCATCTGAGACCAGACCCTGCCTCAGAGGCTTTTCTGCCTTTTTTCATTGGCTCCTCCTCCTGACCTTGACCCTGGGTCTAAATGCCCAGGCTCAGGCAACAGAGAAGCCCTGCCTCAAACAGATAGGAGCTTGGCATCTCAGGCAGCCGTCCTCCAAGCTGTCTCCACGCTCTCTAAAATAAGATATAGACAGAGATTTGTCATGGAATCACAAACAGGAATGTCACCAAAGCTGTCACCAGAGCCCCTTAAAATGTCACTTCCCAGCATTAATTGCCACGATAGCAAAACAAACGGGTGTTCTCTGAACATTTGCTCTTCCCTCCTCCTCCTTGGGGATCCTCTTCCCTTCATCCCAGCTCCCTTTTCTCCCTGCTCCCTCTGAGCCCCCCTCCTCTTTATCTCTGGGGACCCTCGGGGCATGCTGACCTGATTAGACTGTGCCCAGCAAGGCAGCCCCACCGCACAGTGACAGATGAGGGTGAAGGAGGTTTGATAAATGCCAGAGGCTGAAGAGAATGTTCCCTGATTGATCAGAGCTGGAGCAATTTCCCAGCAGTCAGGGGACTTTGTACCTGACTTGGCCTCCCCTCAAAGGGCTGGGAACCACCCAGGGAGGCTGACTGTCAGAATCCAGGGCAGCTCCTCCTCAGGGCTCCTCCCAGGGAGCACCTGCCTCCCCACCTTGGGAATGCAGTGGATGAACACCATCACCCACAATTCTGGTCAGTCCTGATTTTTCCTAATATTTTCTAAATATACAAGTTACATATACTCACTGTGGGAAACTTAAAAATAAAGAAAAGCATTAACATTTTTTCCCAGAATGCCTATCAACCATAGTAACTTTTTATTATTTTCCCATCTTTTCTCTTACCTGTTAATTGGTTTTTATCATGCTTTTTGATTTAATATTATAAGTACTTCAATATGTTTAAGATTCTGTCTTATGACTGCCTCATATTTTATTTATTGATGCCCATTTTTTTTCTTCGCTATTTTGTATTCAACAGCAAAAAACGTTTTTGGGTTTAAATTTGTTTTTCACTATCCTGTATTATATCCTCAGGGTATTCCCAGGAGTGGAATTATGGTGTCAAATGGTCTGAATGTTTTAAAGTTCTTGATATGTATTTAGCTCAGCCTGCTTTTTCAAGTTTGTCTCCATACACACTTGTTCAATAAGAAAACACTTATTCATTCATTAAATCCACACACAGCAGTAAAGCACCTACTGTGTGTTGGAAACTATTTAGCACACCGATGATAAAGCATTTGGGAACTATTTAGCACAAATAGAAAATGCATGCATATCTGTTTCTGTAGTGCAACCTTTCTAATGCAGAAGGACTATAAAGAAA